AATTTAAAATAATTTAATTATGATCTATATTAAAACACACCAACAAATAAACTGACTGACAGTTTTTAATCAAACAAATAATTCATAAATATGGTAAATATATGATTCAATAATAGCTTTGATAAAATTTACAATAAAACAAACAATAGAATGCAGATAATTGCAATAGTTTTGTTTCAAACACTTTGTTTATGCATCAATGATGAACAGAATCGTTTCACTTATTCACTTACGAATTATAACTTTCTGTTCTATCAAAGTATTGCAAGTTTATAAAACAACCTAAAATTTATCACACACCAAGTATCGTGAGTACAGTAAAAAGTGTTTATTGTGGATTTTAAACAGAGAAAAAACGTTTATTTGTGGGTTTATCATGGAATTGTGAAGTAAATTCCATTCACCATTTTTTACACAAAAACGGTGTTATAGAAAATATTGTAGTTTTTTTAATTATAATAAAACTATATTATTTATCTCAGTGTACCTATATTCAAGGTTCTAGACCAAAATAATTATTTGTGGGTTTTGCATTCGATCGGTCCATTGACCCACAAATATAAAAACCCACAAAAAGACACTTTTTACTGTAAAAGTTTTGTTATAGTCCATTCTATTACATTTTTCTGCATTAATCTTACGATTCTTTTTTTTTCTTTTATAAAACGTTTTTTGGAAAAAAAAATGTTTTGTTGATGAAAACGCCAATACAGTTCGTGTTTTAATTAAAACATTTCCAAAAATTAAAGAAAAAAAGGAAAACCTATAAATTATTGTTTGCGCTATTGGTTTGTTTACTGTTTGCATTTCAAAAGAGCCGCCACAAGGTAAATATTTTTGTATATCATATCAAGTTCAAAAAAATAAAATTTGTGTTTTATTTAAAACAGTAACAGTATCGTAAGGTTAATTTAGTAGATTCAACCATTTGATAGTTGAATCCATATAAATGAATATATTTATAAATATATATATATTTTTAAACTATTTGATGTTTGAAAGTAAAAAAAGCAATAATAAAATAATTTTAACAAGTAATAGCAAGGTGACAGCTTAAGTCTGGTTGATTTCACTTAACTATGTTAAGATGAGTATGGTTAATTACAAATTTTTTTAATATGTTAAATTATAATTTCATAATTATTAAACAATATCTTATATTTTATAATATTATCAATTATAATTAATAGTTTTATTTTATATAATATAAATATTATATTATTAAACCATTTATTTGTATACTATACATCTTAATATTTAATAATTTAATTATTAACTATCGTTTTAAGCAGAAAAACGACTGCGGCAAAAAGTCACCATCTGTAAAAAAAGGTTTTGGAGATCACAAAAACAAACAATACTATGAATTTTACTTAAACTACTTTATTTTTGGCATAAAAACAAAGAAAGTATATACCTTTTCATTTTAAAATGCATTTTTGGGACAAGTTCCAAATTTTTCCCTGTTCCTTGATAGACCCTGCTTGTACTCAAAAGATTTTGTAAAACAAAATTGTCGTTTTTCATTTTAACAGCCTCAAATAACAAAAATAACCCAAAATGTTTTAAAACACTCAATAACATTATTATTGGCCCAATAACAATTCGCAGTAATATTTCACGCCGCAGTGATTTTTTACGGTACTCTATACTTATTACAAAACAAAAAATAGCATAAATTGGGTTTGGATAATTTGATTTTAATATGAATAAATTTGGTTAATTTAGTGATAAAATAAAACAAAGTTGCAAGAAAAATTGCTTGTATATTTCGAGTCAAGTTTAGAAATACTTTTTGATAACGACAACTCGGTAAACTGGCGTTTAGAAGGTTTTTCTGATTATGATATTTACTCTTAATAATTTTTGAATTTTGAAATTGTATTTTTTCATCAATTGGTTTTGAAATAATAGTCATATTCAATTGTTTAATGTGTATTGGTTTAACATATTGAAATCGTTTTTGTATAAGTAGCATACCGAATAAATTGTTTAAATTTTTAAATAAAAAAACATCACATATATGTTTTTAGACTATAGTGATAATAATTTTATTATAATATTCATTATAATATTCATTAATATAAAAATGTATTTTTATATTAATTAATTATAATAAATGAATAAATAAAATACCAGTATTAATCTTATTAAATCAGTCCATAAGCAATGTACACTTTTTGAATAATAGTTGTGTTATTTATAACCAAAAAATATATAAAAAGAATTAGTGACAAACCAGTTTAAATCAATAATATGTTTTTATTGTTTTTATATTAATATTATTTTCCTTGTATTTTCTTTAAAACAAGAAAATTACACCAGAAAAAATAATTAAACTGCAAACAAATTAGACTTTTTTTATTTTGCCATACAGTAAAACGAAAAATCTGTCGCGAAGATTATTATAGTAAAAAAATATAATAAAAAACTAGAAATGTACTAAGATTAAACCCGAATAAAATATTTGATTTTCATCCTTTTATCGGATAATTTTATCCGTTTCAATTGATTTTCTTCAATAATAAATTTTTACAATTCTGTTAAAAATGAAATAAGGCGAGTGGAACTAAAAAGAACTCACAAATAAAATGAGCATGAACAATGTCAGAAAAGATGGAGAGAAAAAGGATGACATGAAACTAAGGTGTGAGAAAGACTCTCTTATGAGTCAGTTCATTGACTATGCATTTTTGGGAGGGAAAATGGAGGGAATTGACCGGAGAGGACAAATATATTTAATGAAGTCACCGACTTCATCAGTCCCTTGGGACCGAATTACAAATAATGATTTGGGGAAAGTGTTTGGATTAAGTGGTGCGACAATCTCGACGCAGTCAATGCGAATGGAGTTGGAAATGGAATACGGACCTCAGAAAAATGGGCGACCACCCCTTTTAAACGAGGAACAGAAGAAGGCGTTATTGTTGGAAGTGTCTGGTTGTATTGAAAGGGAGCAGGCGGTAACAGTACAGTACCTACAATTCTTCTTGGAAAAACAATTTGGAGAATGTTTTAAACGCGAGGCAATTTTGTATATACTCAAGAAGGAGGGATTCATTTTGAGGTGGGCATTCCCTGACGAAACAAAACGCCTTGAGATACCAACACAGAGTTTTGTTGATTATTTTATTGGTCTTTCGAAGACTGTATCGGGTGTCAGGAGGTGCCTTTGTTTCAATCTAGACGAATCTGGATATCAAAAATGGGCTGACCGCAAAAAGCTCAAAGTCTTGTGGAATAAAGATGATATCAAAGTGCTGAAAATTGGAATTCTACGTAATGTCAGAAGAAGCACCTTTCTCGCTTGTATCAGCGGAGAAGGACCAATTCCAGGAATTCTAATCACTCCGACCTCAACTTGTACTCAAACGCTTGTTAATTCTGGGCTTATTGGCCATGTACTTTTAACAAAAACAGAGACCGGATTCATAAACAAATCAATTTTTATGGATTGGGTCTTTTCTGTGTTTATCCCGAAAATTTACGAGAAACGAATGGAACTCAGAGTTGGTATTTATGAAAAAGCTGTTTTGCTTATTGATTCGTGTTCTTGCCATGATGTTGAAGAGCTCAGGAAAGTGCTTGAGGTCCACAACATCATTTTGGTGCCTCTTGTTCCGCACGCATCCCATGTTCTTCAACCTTTGGACATTGGGGTGTTTGCGGTTCAAAAAGGTATTATCCGAAATGCTCAGGTTGTAGAGGAAAAAGAGGAAAAAGAGGAAAAAGAGGAAAAAGAGGAAAAAGAGGAAAAAGAGGAAAAAGAGGAAAAAGAGGAAAAAGAGGAAAAAGAGGAAAAAGAGGAAAAAGAGGAAAAAGAGGAAAAAGAGGAAAAAGAGGAAAAAGAGGAAAAAGAGGAAAAAGAGGAAAAAGAGGAAAAAGAGGAAAAAGAGGAAAAAGAGGAAAAAGAGGAAAAAGAGGAAAAAGAGGTATGCATAATTCTTTTGGAGGAAATGAAAAGAAAGACAAAGGTGAAGGAATTGATGGCGAGGAATGGATGAATAAAAATTGGGAAAAAGAGGAAAGTGAAGTGAAAGTGAATAGATTTGAAAAGTACTAAATTGAGATACTGACCGCCTTCCACAAGTCGACTTCAATTTATCGTGCTCTTCGGCTTTTAAGGGTGCGGGCATGATCAGGCGTTTACCATTATTTTATAACAAAATGCCGAATAACAAAATTGTTTTCAAGTAAATTATTTGTTTTTTTCCCGTTTTTTTACTATTTTTTAATTCAATTTTTTCTTATTTAAACTTGAAAACACAAAACTAACTGGTAAAAAAGTTATTCATTGATTTTTTTTTAGGGCGAAAAACTCTTATTTCAGGCCAATATAATATCATTTTTAAAAGAAAACCATGCCAAAATTTCTCTGAATTATACTTTTTGGTATTTTTCAGGTTAAAACAGGTCCTTATAAGACAAAAACCAAAGGAGCGCCCAGTTTCGTTACTTCCGTATTTCAATAACAAGGAACTATCGAAACTTCTAAAAACCAAAATCAAACAGAAAAACACGAAAATAAACGGCGGTTGATGATCAAAATAGCTTTTTACACTTGCAAATGTGATAACCGATTAGTAAGTATTTCCAATTTTTACCAATAATTTAAAAAACAAACAAAAAAACACACAAAAAACAAACACGATACCATGAAACATAAACTGCCTCTGATGCAATGTCAACAAACAGTCAATCAAATATTGAATTAATTGCCGACTTAAAAAATTATTAAAAAAACAATAAGAAAATAAAGAACAAATAGGGAAATTGATGTAAAATGATATTTGAAAGCAAATTAAGAACGAAACTCAGACAATTATTACCATACAATTCCTATGGACAATTGAACAACTATAAAATTATTATAAAATAACTATTTAAAAACAATGTTTATTTAAACGAATAACTATATTATAACTATTATAATACTACCAAAAGAAACTATGAGACAAAAACAATAATAAGATCCAAAATACAGAACCAGTATATAATTATTAATAAATTATCAAAATATTATCAAAAGACGGCACTATTTAATATTAAAACGTCAAACATAATAACAATAACACCAATTTATAATTAGAAAATGCATGACAAGATAGAAAAACATTAAAGAGGGGGTATTACTTGTTGGTTCAATTTCGAATTGAAATAAATAATACAACCAAAAAACTTTTTGAGGGTTATTCAAAAACATGCTTTGTAAACAGAAAACAAATTTAAATAATTTATAATTTAGCATTTTCCGCTTCCTCTTCTCGCTTCCTCTTCTCGCTTCCTCTTCTCGCTTCCTCTTCTCGCTTCCTCTTCTCGCTTCCTCTTCTCGCTTCCTCTTCTCGCTTCCTCTTCTCGCTTCCTCTTCTCGCTTCCTCTTCTCGCTTCCTCTTCTCGCTTCCTCTTCTCGCTTCCTCTTCTCGCTTCCTCTTCTCGCTTCCTCTTCTCGCTTCCTCTTCTCGCTTCCTCTTCTCGCTTCCTCTTCTCGCTACTTTTAAATGTATTTTTAAGTTCTACAAATAAAGTAAAAATGGTTTTATCAATTTGTATCAATTTGTGATAGAAACCCTGGTTCCTTATCAAAAATAGAACATCACCAATATTTTTTTTTAATTGGAAATATCCATCACTAAATGAAAATTGGTTGCAAAAAGCATTTCTTGTGGAATTATTAGAGTTTACCCATAGACTCTAAGTAAGACTCTAAATTAGAGTCTATCTTTCAAAGACTCGAGGCATCTAGTTGAAATAAACTATAAAAAATAATAAAAATATTATATTTTTTGATAACTTGACTTTTGTATTTAAACTGAATTTTAATTTAAAAAAACTATAACAATAATAATAATTATTTATCCTTGTCTTTTTGTGTTTTACTTAAATCGAAATGTTCTTAGTCATCAATAGTAATTGCACTCAGTCGACCAACTTCAAGTTGTTTGTTGTTCAGATCTTCACCGGCCTTTCTGACCTGTCTTCCAACTCGGCAATTCTCAATTGACCGTCTCTGACCGATTGTTGAGTCTTCTTCAAATCGGGTTGTGTCTTACCAATTTGAGTGTTGAATGAAGATTCTTTTTGTTCAAATTCTGCAAGCTATCTCTCAGCCTCTTCGACCTTTCTGTCATACTGTTTAGCTTGTTTCTAAACAGCCTCGTTTTGTGCTTCTTTCTTTTCTGTTTCGATTCTCTGAGTTTGTCTGCGTATTTCTTCTTTTGTGCTTTAGCCTGTTGAGCAGTGGTTCTTTCAAGATCAAGTTGTTCATTCAATTCAGTTAATTTTTTCTCATAAGAGTTTTTCGACTGTTTTTAAATGTTGCCTCAATTCAGTCTTCATCTCGGACATATCGTCTTCAAGTTTGTCACATTTGTATTGTTTTTCGTCGAGTTCAGTATTTGTTCCCATCTATTCTTCAGAAGCGGTTTTATAATCTCTCATAGTCTTGACATACTCTTGTTCAGCCATCTGGATGTTCTTCTCAAGGGTTTCAGCTCTGACTATGATTTCAGCTATATCTTTCTTGTACTTTCCTTTAATCAATTAAGTCTCAGTGTGGTCTTTCTTTTCTTGATCAAGTTCAGTTCTAACGCTCTTCAGTTCGTCTTGGTATTTCTGTTTCATCACTTCATTACCATCCTTGTCATCATTTGCAGTGTCAAGTTGTTTCTGTGCCTTGTCGGCTTCAGCATCCAAGTCGTTAACCATTTTGTCCATTTCCTCCAAATCCTTTTCATTCTTCTCCTCATCAGTGAGTTGATCAACTTGGAATGTCAAGTCATTTGCTTTTTAGTCAATTTTTCTTCAGTGTTATTTGCTTCATCCAAGTTGAACTGGACTTCTTGCAATTTGCTCTCAGCAGCCTTTCTCGCAGCTACTGCACTGTCAGCTTTCTGTCTTTTTTCATCAAGTTGGGCTTGAATTTCAGCAATTCTTGTATTCAACATGTTCTTCTCTTCTTCTTAAGCAACAGAAGCCGGTGCACTGACTAAAACTTTAAGTGATGAGACTTGTGCATTGAGTACTTTAACTTGGTCTTCCACATTCTTTCTTCTATTAAATTGGTCCGCTGCAGTCTTTTCATCATCAGTTTTGTCGTCCAATGCCATCTTCTTTTGTGCTTCAAGTGCCTTAATTTGTGATTCATAATCCCCAATCTTCGAAGCGTCTTCAACTGCTTGCTTCTTTATATCCTTCTTAGCAGCATCAAGTTGTGTGTTCTGATCTTTCAACGCAGCAACTGCCTTTTCCAAATCAACTATTTGGTTGTCTCTCTTGATGACTTCAGTTTGATCAGTATTTGAAGTCCCAACTGGTCTATCTTTAAGGTCTTGCACTTGTTGTTCCAAATCGGCTATTTTCTTCTTGTCTTTAGCTGTTCTGTCTCTCAATTCAGTCAACTCAGTGTTATTTGCTTCTAAGTCTCTTTGTAACTTTTTGATTGAACCATTCAAGTTGTTGGTCTCATCTTCATGTCCATAAACTAAGTTAATGAGTTGGTCATATTGGTCTTGAAGCTTCTTCTTTTCAGAAGAAAGTTGGTCTTTGTCATTCGCCAAGTTCTTCACCTTCTCTTTAATTTCGTCGTTTTCTGCTTTCAATTTCTTTGCCTCCTTTTCTTTTGCAAATTTGTCTTTCTTGACTGTTTCAAACTCTTCATTGGCTTCAGCAACTTCTTGTTCTTGTGAGTAAATTTGTCGACTTTGGCACTCAATTCCTCAATCTTTTTATTGCTCTCATTAACAGTTTTATTGAGTTTCTTCTTATCAGCAGCATCGGTGTCGGCATTCTTCTTGAAATAGTCAAAGTTCTGTTGGAGTTGGTCAAGTTCGGCTTTGGTTCTTCCCAAGTCGGTTTTAGCAATTCTCAACTTCTCATTTGCGGCTTCAACTTCTTCGTTAAGAGCAGCTTTTTCTCTTTCAGCGTCTTCTAATTTGGCATCGACAACAGATTTGGCCTTAGTCAAATTGTCATTGTCAGCCTTCAATTGAGACAATTGCTTTTCTTGAGCATCTTTCTTTCTATTCGTGTCCTCAGCATCAAATTCAAGCTTGTCTTTGTTATCAGCAGTTTAGGCAAGTTATTCATTCAAGTTATTAATTTCAACGTCTTTTTGGTTCATATTAGATTTAGCACCAGCCAAATTTTTTCAGTCTTCTCCATGTCATCTTTCAACGCTTGGATTTGAGCTTCGTAGTCGGCCTTCTGTGCTTTCAACATATCAGAGTCATTAAGTCCATCTTCAATTCTCTTTGTCAACTCAGCAATTTTTCTCTGAGCATCTTTATTGGAAGAATCAAGTTTTCTGTTCTTATCTTCTAATTCGTCTTTCTCCGAGTTCAAAGCAGAAATCTTCTTGTCACTTGCATTCTTGGCTGAGGTCAAAGCAGCAGTCTTGGTCTTCCCTGCTTGCAATTGTTGGTTATACCCATCTCTCTCGTCTGAAACCTTCTTGTTTTGAGCAACTTGTTGGTCGAGTTTCTTCTCGGTATTATCAAGAGCCAATTGAGTCTTTTTCAAATCATTCTTAGTATTGGCAAGATCGTCTTTAGTATCATTCAAAACAGCGCCAGTGTCTTCATTCTGTGCGTTGACATCAGAAATGGTGTTTTGCAACTTCTTGACTTGTTTCTCCAAATCAGCAATGATGTTTTCCTTCTCGTGCAATTGTGTCTCGAGATCCTTTGAATTGTCTTTTTCGGCTTCAAGCTTCTTCTTCAAGTCGGAAATTTCGCCTTCCTTATTTTCAATGTTTTTGTTAAACTCAGTGATAACACTATCCTTCTTGGCAATAGTCGCTTTGTGTTCGGTAATTCCATTTTGAAGTCTTTGATTATCAGCTTCAAGTTAGTTGTACTCTGTGGTTAACTTGTTCAAGTCTTCCTTTCCTCTCTTAATATCGCCTTGGAGTTCTTCAATGTGTTTTATGTCTTTTTGTGACTTCATATCCACCTTGTCAAGAGAAACCTTCTTTGGCTCAATATCTTCTTTAAACTTTTGGACTTAAGCTTCCAAGTCGACGTTCTTGATTTTCATTTCAAAAGTACCTTCTCAGCGGCTTCAATCTTTGCAATTTCTTCAGCAAGTTTCTTCTTGAGGGCTTCAATTTCTTTGTCCTTGGTTGCGGTTCCTCATCGACTCTTCTCCTCTCTTCAATCTCAGCAAGAACACCAACCTTGAAGAAAATCTTGATCTTACCAAATTTAAATTCTTCAGTACCACTCTTGGCTTGTTTCTTGTACTTTTCACAAATTTGTTTCATGAGTTCTTTGACAACTGGCATGGCGTCTGAAGTCACTCCACTTGCTGTTATCCCAGACACTGAGACTGGCAAAAAGTGTCCACCTGTAGATTATTCAGTGATTCCATCAGTTGTTATCATCGACCCAATGTTCTGTGTCTCATTAATAAAGAAAGCTCTAGCAGACTGTGGTATCAATGTTTTAGTCCGTGTTGTTGTAGCTTATGTCTCAGTTATAGTCAATAAATACACAAACGGTCTTGCTAAAAAAGTAGTCAAATTAGTCTTCGACGACTATTTCGAGTCATTCAACGGGGTTTTGTTGCAAGAAAGAAGATGCACAATGCAGCTACCATTGATGGCATGGCATTTGTTTTCGCGTTCCTTGGGGTTGTTCATTCAGTGGTTCACAAAATAGGACCTGCTTTCCATCTTCCATATGGTCGATCTGTTGCAATGTTGTCACCACATGTTATTCGATACAATGGTGTTATCTCAAGAAAGATGGCGTAGTGTCCAAAGTACAACTTATATGTTGCAGACCAGAGATACAATGACCTTGCTCATTTGGTCGGGTTGAAAACTGAGACGACGGCTGAGGAAGTTGAAGTTCTTGCAAAGGCATTACTTCAACACAAATCGTTTTTTGAAAAATAAAGTATTTGAGATAATTGAAATCCAAAAAATACACTTTCATTACTCTTTAATTATTATACATTATGATAAATAAACTATTCGTTATAGTTTTTTTAAATATAATTTCCACTTTCTGTGTATGAAATGTATTGATTATTTACTTTAATCTCGTCCAAGGAATTATTACATTAAAAAATGACCAGGCAATTATTGTTTACAATAATTATATAACAACAAATAATTTATTATAGTTTAATTTTTTGGAAATAGTATCAATAAAGTTAATTAAAGGTATCACTTTATTATATTTTAATTATATTGAACATAATAAAAAGAAATTATTATAAATAATTTTATTTATTTAAAATTAAGTCTTTTAAAACCAAATAAACATAAATAGTTTATTGCTAATTTACAAAGTCTAATATAAAGTAATTAATATATAAATTAATTTATAATATGAGATAGATTTAAAAACCCTAAAACGCTTTATTTGATTTGTTTCAATCGGATTGTTCCACATTTTTCAAAACAATAAAATGTTGTAAAAAAACACAAAAACAAATTAGACAATTTATAAATAGTTTAAAAAGGTTGTTTTTTTTTTCTAATCGTCAATTTGCCGTATTAAACAATTAAAACAATTACAATATAATTAAACAAATTAAAAATTTAGTTAAAATTGATTCTTTAAATCCCAATTTGCATTTTCTTTCTCAATATTTTTGTAGTTTTTGAAGCAAATTAAATTTTGTTTTACCACATTAAATAAACAATCAATGATTATGCGATATTTAGAAGAAATATATTTATATAAAATACGTATTTTACTGTTCAATTTTTATTGCTATTTGTCCTTTTTATAAGTTGCTTTATAAAACACCAAAAATAAAAATTGAATTTATCATTCAACCCCTTTGTTTGCATGCAAAATGATATTGTTTGTGAAAAATATCTCTGGAATAGACATAGTGTAGTTTATTTTAACTTAAGTTGCGTCGGTTTTTGATTATTTTTATCATATTGTTTTCACAAAAAAACTATTTAAAATTATTTTAGAGTTTTGTTTTTTTACTATTTTTTATAAAAAAACATTTTGAATAGATTTTTCTACAAACCAACTTTTGTATAAAGTAAATAATGAGTTGCTTTTTGTGTTCATAATCGGGCTAGTTAAACATCATTTTTTTAATTATTGTTGTTATTTTTAAAAAAGTTTTTTTGAAACAACACAAAAATAGACAATTATATGGTTGACATTTATTCTGAAATATAATGTTTTTGTAAAAGTCTTAATTAACCCGTTTTATTTAATTTAATTCGTGTGACGACTAGAATAAACTTGAATTAAAGGCAAATTATATGAAATTGTTTTTATTTCGAAGATTTATTTTTTTGGTTTGGAATCCAAAAATGGTATCAATTTCAAAAAGCAAAAGATAAAATGTAATTGATTTAATTAAATTGGTATATATATTAACATAAATAATATATACAATTTTTAATTAAAATATACGTGTTTAATTATAATAAGTGTTGATAAATTGAAAAATATTTTGATGTCACATTTTGATATATTATTTATTTTAAAGATCAATTTAACAAACGAAACAATCATGTTATAAATTTTTATTATAATAAATCATTAAAAATTTATAATAATATTAATACATTTTGTTTTGTTGCATCAATGTATTTTTATAAATAAACAAAATTGTTTTTGTTTTTTAGTGTTTTTTACTAATAGTTAATTTACTATATATTTTTTAATTCAATTATATTTTTATTTCATAAAATAGTCCATCGATCTTTTTCGAAGTTATATTGTTTATAAAAAAATGAATTGACTTTATTAAACTATTAAATTATAGTTAATTATATTAAAAATTTTGTTATGTTTATTACAAAATATTTTACGAAAATTTATCTTGATTATAAACTATTACATTTAATTTTACTTATAATTAATTTACTATATATTAAAGGATTAATTAAATTGAATTTGTCTTTATTTCAGTATACATTATTGCCAAATTTGTTCACAAAAAAACTATAAAAATAAATAAAAGTTGGTTAAAGAACCAAATGGAATAAAAGTAACAAAAAACAAAAATTAACTTTGCTTTTAGTGAAAATATTGGTGATAATAAACAATTGTTTTTTTCTCAAGTGTTTTTTTGGGAAATTGTTAAGAGGGGCTCCCTGTTTTTGAAAAGCAAAAAACGGCAAAAATGACGAACGCCTGATCGTGGGTGCGGGTATAACATTCAAATACGACTCGGAAAAGAAAGAGTACTTTTTTCAAGTTGATCCCTTCAAGTGTAAAAGATTGAGGGAAGAATTCCCTCTATTTTTCAAGGATCTGAATTTTATTTTTTTTTAGTTCAATAACTCCAATAAAACTAAAAAGAAGGTTTAAATATGAAGACCTTCCAACTCCTAGGGTTTCTATAACAGCTATTAAAGTTTGTGAACTGCGAAAAAAAACAGACTCATCAAACAAACGATCTAAACATCGACGACGAAGTACAATTGTTGTTAGACTGCGAAGTCGACGAACAAATCAACCAAGAAAGTCTGTCTAAAATACGTTTGTATTTGAAGCTCGAACCCCCTAAACCCAAATCTACAAGAGGAATAAAAAAAGGCAGTATAAACAAGACTCCTGAAGAAAAATCAATATTAGAAAAGAAACCAAAAAACCCAAGAGGTCGACCCCGAAAAGCAAATTAACTCATTTTTTGTTATTCCCTTTTGTTATTTATTTTTGTTATATATAACATAATAATAACATTTTGATGAAAAATACCAATTAATTTATTCGTTTTTTTCAAGACGGGTTTTTTCGAACTAGACACCTTTTTGTTATGACTGTATAAATGAATTATTTATTTTTATTGGTTTATCATGAACACTTGAAAGTTTTACTCAATAATCCTTACTGTTGTATAACTTTCACCAACTTAAAAAATTATGGTATCATTATATTTCGTAACAAATGACAAAAATATAAACTTGAATTTTAATTCAAAAAAATTGAAAATACATTAAAACATAACATTAATTGTTTTTTAAAGTATTAATTTCCAACTCTATTAAATATTATCAACAACCTTAAATTGTATTTAGATCTATTCATATTCAAAATGAGCAAAACATTTGTTTTCACCAATGTTGAACAATACAAATTTGATACTTCAAACAAATATTTCCTCACTGAATTACCCGAGTCTGCTTTTAATTCAATATATGCAAAGATACAGGAAAATGCCGTTCGGTTGATGTGTCAACTTGACCCAACACACACTAAAGAGTACAAGACTTTACCACAAAGGTATCACACTCAATTAGAATCTACCCATTTAAACAAGCTGTACGAGAATTCTTTGCTGGCTGTTTTGATCCGAACTCTCAGATGTTTAAAAATGTATTTAAATACTGTGTAGGCAATTTCAGTGTTTGTTTGCGCTTTTTATATGAGCAAGAAATAGACAAAGAAAACCTTGAAAAAGTAGAGATCAAAAATCCATTATTTATAGTGTCTATGCCACGCAGTGGCTCTACTTTTGCACATTCTGTGATGTCATCGGATCCAATACGCGACTTCTATTGGAATGTACGAACACTTGTGTCCAGGGAGCAAGACAATGTCCTCTGAAAGTCGTCTCAACTATTGAAAGAGAGTGATCGAGCCGATGCTAAATGAAGACCTCAACAAACGACATAAACTAGACGTGGAACATTGTGAAGAAGAACTGTTCTTCCAAGAGATGATTGGATTTTCGTGGACGTACTCGCTCAGTCTTCCCAGACTCGAACACTATAGAGAACACCTCTGGAACGTATATTTCAAATTTGTGTATGACGGGTTAATGGACGAGTTTAAAATGCATTTGCTGGACAAAAAGGAGTGTCCCTGGTATGACACCGACAAGTCGAAAATAAATGAGAAAATGAAAAATCCACTTGTGTTTGAAAGCAGTTTCTCACCTTGTGGAGCCCCTGCACTTCTTCAATTTTGTGAATGCAACAGAATGAAGAATCCTGTGGATACACAGAGAAATCATTCCGGAGCTCAAAAGACTGATTTCGGGGTGCCTGGCAGTTCGTGGCAATTTTGTGGGTGATGTTGGACTTGATGATATTAAATGGACCAATGATAATACCATCAAAATCATTTGGCTGTGTTTGAAGAATGGAATTGCAGCGAGAGATAAATGGGTCAATGAGGATCCACAGCGTGAAAAACAGATCTATGACGTTTCATTTTCTGCACTGACTAAAGACCCAATCGGAGAAACGAAAAAGATCTATAAATACTTTGGAATGGAATAATTACAGGAGTTTGAAGAAAACATTAAAAAGCTCATCAAACCAAAAGAGAAAAAGCACGAAGAAGAGAAGGAAAAGGATAAGATATATATTTTCATTTGACGAAGAAGAGGTGAAATAAGAGTTCATGTTTTACTATGAGCGTTTTGAAAAATACTTACCCAATTAATTTGAATAACATTTTAAAATAATTATTTTTATAGTTTTATTGCTTGTGTCTTTAAATTTACCTTTGTGTGAAAATTGATTTACTAAAAAAAATACAATATAAAATTATAATTTACTTTAAATCATAAACAAATTGATTTAAAATTTGCTATTCAATTTTTTTCAACGCGTCTTTAAAATTTTAACGGTTTTCGACATTATGAGCTCCACAAAACGCACTTTATACAAAACAACTATTTCCATGCAAAACTCCTCCTTCAAATTTGTGAAGTTAACTTTTATAACGGACGTTTTTTCGTCTTGTTGAGTGAAGTCTTTAACGACTTGGATTACCTTTGGAAGAGCTTTTTGCATGAAAGAGAAGAGATTTTTGTCGTTCAAATTTTTGTTGAGGACTTTAGTGACTGTACGATACAATTCTTTTTCGCTTAGAAATGGGAGATAAGTGATGTTCTTTGTTTTGTACAATGAATCCAAAATGGTGTCAGAAAGATAAGAGATGTATACACAGACGTTTGGAGGGAGTTTTGAAAGCTTTTCGACTATTTCAATGGACAACTCCGAGTTGAATGCAGCGAAGAACTGAATATTAAATTGCGTGTCGGACAGATCTGAAAAATCGATGGCGGAAATTAAATTGGCATTACACGCAGCAGCAGAAAACGTCACAGTTCTCAGAGTTTTGTGGGTAATGATTTTTATGAAGTCTTCCATATAATCATTTTCTTTGAACCCAAATGTGACGGTTTTAAGTTGCACATACTTGCTGATATTATCTGCAAAAGTGTAGACTTCTTCTTCAAAGATGCGAAGTTTCCTCACACGTTTTGGAAACCATTCTGTCGACAAGAGTGAGGTCACACTTTTTGAAGGGCCTTGAGACTTTGGCGTCTTGTAATTTCGTCGTAACTCAATGATGAAAGTATTCAAATTCTCTAAGAAAGACAAATCATAGTCAACTTTATAAGGAAGGTACAAAGTCTCCAATTTTGGAAATAAAGTGACAATCTTTTGAATTGGAATGATTTGAGGAAGATTAAATGGATTGATATACAAACTCTGTGATACATCACAAGACTTTTTGTTAATACAAACAAAAGTGGCAAGGTCTGAAAGTTTTGGGAGATATAAGACAACGTTTCGTAAATAAAATGGTTCAAGGCGTGCCATCCAATTGTTTTTTAAGTGAAATAAATATCATTTTATTTTTTTTCGTATTCAAATTAAAATTACTTTTATTAAATTAATTTTATACAAAAAATACAAATGTAATACTATAGTTTCAACTTACCATTAAAATACTATTTGAATAATAATGAACAAGTTTTCATATTTATTATAAAATAATGGTTTAGATATAATTTTTTATATTTAGTTTTTGAAATGGTATAAAAATTATCAATTATTAGTCGAAACCATAATCCTGGTCGAAACCTTAGTAATAAAAGTAAATTTTTTAAAATTTACTACAGTATAGACACTCTGCCTTTTGTGAAACTTTGCCTTATGCAAGACTTTAATTTATAAATATTAGTTAAAAAATTATAATAAATTAAAACTGAAATAGATCTTATGGTGTTTTTGGTAAGAAATAATTAAATAATATTCAGTGACAATATTTAGTACTTAATTTGGAATAAACCCACTTAAGTGAGTAAATTTAGGTTTTATTTTTGGAAATAACAAAAAATTAAAAAAAATGAAATTGTGTTATAAAGCAAAAACATTTTAATAATAACAAATTATTTTTTTTATTAAAAATAACATTTTAATAACATTTTAACAAAAAAAATAATTAATTAAAGTTTATTCCATGACATTTGCAAAACTTGGGCTATATGTTGACTTGTTTTGGTAAAGACTTTATGATTTTTTAAGTCCTTTTCAAGTTTAAACACTGTTTTTTAATGCTTTGAGTGGAAAAATTGTCGAATCCAGAATTCATTTGGTATTTGACCAAAAAAGTGTACGATTTTTACATTTTTGTGTAAAAAAACCACATTTACGATATACACTC